TGCCCTACTCACAACCCCTTCTGCAGAAAGCTGACAGAGTTGGTCCTTCCCCATAATTTGCCCTGTCCTGAGGTACACGACCCTTCTATACTGTCCACAATTGATTGTATCAGGGATCTATGTCCTAGTTAAGGGCCATTATCCTTTCAGTTGGACATAAGGGAGGCCAGGCGGGGTATGGTGGCTCACGCCTGTAATCCCAACACTTTGGGAGGCCGAGGCGGGTGGATCATCTGAGGTCAGGAGTTGGAGACCAGCCTGGCCACCATGGTGAAACCCCGTCTCTACTAAAAATACAAAAATTAGCTGGGTGTGGTGGCGGGCGCCTGCAATCCCAGCTATTTGGGAGGCTGAGGAATGAGAATCACTTGAACCCAGGAGGTGGAGGCTGCAGTGAGCCGAGATGGCACCATTGCACTTCAGCCTGGGCCACAGAGCAAGACGCTGTCTCAAGAAAAGGGGGGGAAGGGGACGGGCCGGGTGTGGTGGCTCACACCTATAATCCTAGCACTTGGGGAGTCCAAGACGGGTAGATCCTGAGGTCAAGAGTTTGGGACCAGCCCAGCCACCATGGTGAAACCCCGTCTCTACTAAAAAAAAAAAAAAAAAATCAGCCAGGCGTGGTGGCACACACCTGTAGCCCCAGCTACTTGGGAGGCTGAGGCAGGAGAATCACTTGAACCTGCGGGATGGAGGTTGCAGTGATCCAAGATTGCACCTTTTCACTTTAGCCTGGGTGAAAGAGCGAATCTCTACCAAAAAAAAAAAAGGAGGCCAGTAGCCAGAATAATCTCCACCCAATCAGGGAGCTCTATTTTGGATTATAACTAATAGACTCAATCGGATCGTCTCTCAGGGACTATAGAGAATAGGAGAAGTAGCAGAGGCGAACGTGGGCAGGGAAGCTGGAGAGCACATGAATAAGAGGATGCACATTGTAACTACAGGGCAATAGACATCCACTTCAAAAGCAAGGACTCAACCCAGCCGTCTAAGCTGCTGGTGTTCACTACATGACAAAGAGCCATTTTTTTTCCCAGCTCTCCAAGAAGGTTTGCCTCTGATCAGCATTAAAATAAACCTCCAGCATCTAAGATAATGTCAACGTGCCTTTGTTCCTTGTAACTTAAAGGAGGCAGCCCGAATTCATCATGAAAAGAAAAACCCAGACCTGCAATATACAGCACATTAAAATAAAGTAAGTCAGGCATAAAAAATACCACATAAAAAAAGATTATACAACCCGAAATCTAGGCTTTGACATTTACTTTAATAGAGGGAATAAGAAAAATGTGCAATGAAAATTACTCTATAGTTGTTCAACAGATAAATGAAAATGTGAATACTTAAGCACCCACAGAGTTTGCTCAATGGCATTTAAAAAGCAAGCATTCTTCAAACTAGAATTCAAGAATCAAGGGTAAGTTAGGAAGACATTAGTAATTATGCTTATTTTCCTGGGCTCTTTACATAAAAATGAAAGTAATTTCCAGCCCATAAAGCTCACTTTTAAAGATACCTCAATTAAAAATATTTTATCTCTCTATACATGTGTAAATCTTTTGTCATAACCAAAATAGGTTATTGGAAATAAAACATGTATTGTAGCCAATTCAAGTTGAAAAAAAAGAAACCTGGGTCTCCTTCAGTTGTCAAGCCATGAGAGCTTCATCTCATATCAATCTTAAGATCTCTGTAAACACATAAGCTTTCAATTATTATAACTTTAAAAAGCCACTTCAAAAGTCACCACATAATTACTTTGGTTTCCTTGGCATCCAAGTACTTTTTAAAAGCTTACTTTCTAGCTGTAATTATTTTGAAGTTCGGCATTCATATCTTTGCATTTCCATTTCCAAAGTACTCTGCAGTTCTTAATATTTTTGAACAAGTCAGTAAAATAGTTTTGCAGCACTTAAAAGTTTTTAACGTAGTTCCCTAATAAATTGCTGTTCTGAAAAATCCCTATATAAGACAAAGCCTTTGCCCAAGTTTGTTCATGGTCTCTCCTTTTGCTTGCAAATGGTACAACTGTGCCTGTCTCAGGGAACAATCACTCTAACTGGGTATTAAAGAGACTGGGAATGTTTCCCCTCATTGAATATATCCACTCAGTTAGGAAAACTGAGTTATCAAGACAAAGGGGTTATAAACCCAGATGGGATCTTAGATGTGTTTACAACATAAACTCATAAGAGTACTACAAAAGAAAGCAAAGACAACACTATGATTCTCATAGAGAACTGCATATTCCCAGGGTAGTTTTCTTCTGAAGAAATTAGGATACTTTACTATCAAAGTGAAAAATATTTCCCTAATTAAGCATCCATACAAGCTGCATTTCCTTTATGACTCCAGTTTTTATTCATGGGTTTTAAGATACCCCAAGTAAACCTGGTATATAACATTAATACTACTATAATTCTAATTATCTACTTTGAACACCACTTTCATATACTGGGATTTCTAGGAGTGGTGTGATTTTTAAAATACAGTGTATGTTTATATACACTGCCACAACCCTTCTTCTCCCACAAAATATTAATTTAGTAAATATTTAATACTGAAATCATGCCTTTATCACTTGGTAATTATAATTAAGTTGGCAATATAAGTAGCTTAATAGGTAACTAGTATTTGGACTTCATACTTTAATTTTGAAAACTCACTGTTAAACACAGGTATGTTCTATTTGAACTCTGTTCAATGAGCTTCAATTTCATATTTAAAGCAACTCTATCAAGTGATTCATACCTTATCTTCAACATATACTCATGAAAAACTCACTATTGCAGCCGGGTGCGGTGGCTCACTCCTGTAATCCCAGCACTTTGGGAGGCCAAGGAGGGTAGATCGTTTGAAGTCAGGAGTTTGAGACAAGTCTGGCCAACATAGTGAAACCCCGTCTCTACTAAAAATATAAAAGCCGAGCATGGTAGCACACGCCTGTAATCTCAGCTACTCGGGAGGCTGAGGCAGAAGAATCGCTTGAACCCGGGAGGCAGAGGTTGCAGTGAGCCAGGATCACGTCCCTGCACTCCATCCTGAGTGACAGAGCAAGACTCTGTCTCAAAAAAAAACAAGAAACAAAAAAATTAGCCAAGCATGGGGTCACACACCTGTAGACTCAGCTAGTCAAGAGGCTGAGGTGGCAAGATAGCTTGATCTCAGGAGACTGAGGCTGCAGTGAACCATGATCACGTCACTGCTCTCCAGCCTGGGTGACAGAGTAAAACTGTCTCAAAAAAAAAAAAAAAAAAGAAAAGAAAAGAAAAAATGGAAACCTAGGTATATGAAGCCATCATGAAACTGATGTGCTATATAATGCAGAGTCAACCTTTGCTGGAACTCACCTGATTTTAATAAACTTTCCTTTTCATTTAAGCCATTTTGAAGTGGAGTTTTACTGCTTATAGTTAAAAAGGATCTTTCTGGATTTCCACATTGGCTTATATAAAAAGATTGAAATTATAAGCCTGAGCCTTGTGTTTATGACTCAGAAGCATGACTTACTAACTTTGTGAATGGGGGCAGGGCACTAACCATCTTGAGGTACAAGTGAAACAACAGCATGTATTTTGTAAGTACAGTTATGAAAAAAGAGAGGGCAACTCAGTGTGTTAGCTGTACAATGTCTATAAACTTTGTCAGACAAGTTCTAGCAAACAACCTAGTATACCAAGTGGGCCAATAATGGATCTACACCCCAACCCCACAATGTTTAAATTCAAGATGCTCCACCCAATGTCCACATTATGAAAACTGCCCCCTCTATGATCAAAATCATTTGAAGTCAAAGGAAACAATTGTGACTGCATAAATGCTAATAAATGAACATTTTATTTGGGTTAGCATTAGTATTCTGATTTTTAAAGATTAGATATAGAGATATCACGAATTTGATCTTCAACCCAAACGTTTTTTTTTTTTTTTGAGACGGAGTCTTGCTCTGTCGCCCAGGCTGGAGTGCAGTGGCATGATCTTGGCTCACTGCAAGCTCCACCTCCTGGGTTCACACCATTCTCCTGCCTCAGCCTCCCAAGTAGCTGGGACTACAGGCGCCCACCACCATGCCCGGCTAATTTTTTGTATTTTTATTAGAGACGGGGTTTCACTGACGTCGTGATCTCCCCGCCTCAGCCTCCCAAAGTGCTGGGATTACAGGTGTGCAACCCAAACTCTAAATCCCTTAATAATACCTTAATTAAAGGTTACCTTAACAAATCCCTTAATTATACTTCATGCAGGAAAACAGCATGAAGTATAATCAACTGTGAAACAGGTTAGGACTGGGTACAGTAGGTCACACCTATAATCCTAGTACTTGGGGAGGCTGAGGCAGGAGGATCACTTGGGCCCAGGAGTTCAAGACCAGCCTGAGCAGCACAGCAATACCCCGTCTCTATTAGGGGGAAGAAAAAAAAAACAGCTGAGCCAACAACATGATAGGGAGGTGGTCTGCTATTGGCAGCAATTCAAACAACATGGCTCAAGCAATCTCTATTAAAATGTCTGGAACGAGAAATTAACAGATAGGCATATTCATGAAGCTATAGATTTTTTTTTCTGTGACTATCAACGATTCTGTACCAGAGACACATTCTGAAATTTACATTATTCTTCTTAAACATTTTATTAGAAAGTAAAGTACTTAAATACTTAATACATTAATATTTAAGTACTTAAGTTAGTACTTAAATTAGTATTTAATACTAATTTAAGTATTAGTATTCAAGTACTTACACAATTTATTGACTAGTCATATATATAGACACACATAAATTTATTGACTAGTCATATATATAAATATGGACACACATACATATACATATTTACACATACACAAACATACACATAAACATACAGTAGACCAAAGGGAGCTTTAAAACAAGCACTAAATAATATTTAACTGCAGAATTAGAAAATATATTGTGAACTTCCTAAGTTATTAATCACATGTTATGAGAATGTAACTTTTATGTATTAAAAAATAAAACAAGGCAAAAACTTTATTGCACTTAACAATATACAAAATAGAATATACAAAATTAAAAAATCCATTATCAGACTGTAGATACAAAATGATTAGTTATTTGCATGTAATAAACATTAATATTTCAATAAAATATATTTTAAATAAAATAGAATAGTATTACCAGACTGTATTCGGACAGTATAGTATCACAAAACGTTACAGGAAATAGTAACAATCTGCAAATAACAGAATTTTTTATATTACATACTAAATACAAGTTTTATCTCCATTTATGCATATTAAAGAAAATGTTAAAGAATTCTTATTCTAATTTTGTGTACTTTTATTCTAGAACTATGTATTGCAATTTCCAAGAAATAACCTACAGTTTCCCAGAAGGATTATTTTTAATACTGGCAGTCTTCCTGTTCAATACACAAAATATCATTCTTTTCTTCTGTCAGAAAACTCAAAATTAAAAACTACACCAGGCTCTTTGTTCAGTGTTTTCTCTTCTTCTTGGAGGCAGTGAACTCTAAAGACATAAAGTTTAAAAGTCAGTCAGATCGAAAAAAAAAAAAAAACTTGACACTTAAATGATAATACCTAATTGATACCATACATTTAAACTACATAGCTATCTAACTGGCACAACACAATAAGGATGCCCTCACAGCAAAGACACAACAAAAAAATCTTAAACCTGACATATTCAAGAATTTTTTCTTCAAAATGATATAGCAGTTTAAAACATACTATCAGCCAGGAGCGGTGGCTCGTGCCTGTAATCCCAGCACTTTGAGGGGCTGAGGTGAGCGAATCATGAGGTCAGAGGATCGAGACCTTCCTGGCTAACACGGTGAAACCCCATCTTTACTAAAAAAAATACAAAAAATTAGCTGGGCGTGGTGGCGGGCACCTGTAGTCCCAGCTACTCAGCAGGCTGAGGCAGAAGAATTGCTTGAACCCAGGAGGTGGAGGCTGCAGTGAGCCAAGATTGTGCCTCGGCACTCCAGCCTGGATGACAGAGCGAGACTCCATCTCAAAAAAAAAAAAAAAAAACACATAACAACAATAAAAAATACTATATCCATTGAAATAGTAAGATCTCAATCTTATTGCAATATCAATCTATTAAGATAGTGGCCCTTAGCCATTCTAAATCCTAATTAATAATAAGTTACTGTGAAGTTGTTTCATATGGGTCATATGGGTACACCCTCCCTATAATTATATGAACCCAGGGTGCTAGATCTCAAAGGTATTTAGGCCAGTACTAAGAAGAAGAAAATGACTAAGATTTCAATTTCATTTCAATTAAACCTAGAAATGTAACCCAAAACACTAGTACTATACATCATTCTGGCTACTATAGGAGATGCCAGAACCAACACTCGAATAATTGTCCATCTACAAACAGCACGAACCTAAAGGTTACTGATCATTAAAAGCAAAGAAAGCAATAGAAAACACAAAAACATGAAAATTATAAAAGATGTGGCAAAAAGAAATATTCTGGCCAAGCACGGTGGCTCATGCCTGTAATCCCAGCACTTTGGGAAGCCAAGGCAAGCAGATCACTTAAGGTCAGGAGTTCAAGACCAGCCTGGCCAACATGGTGAAATCTCGTCTCTACAAAAATACAAAAATGAGCCGGGCATGATGGGGGGGCACCTGTAATCCCAGCTACTTGGGAGGCTGAGGCAGGAGAATCGCTTGAACCCGGGAGACGGTGTTTGCAGTGAGCTGAGATCATGCCATTGCACTCGAGCCTGGGTAACAAAGCAAGATTATCTCAAAAAAAAAACCAAAAAAGAAAAAAGAAAAAAAATATTCCCTACCAGTGCAAAAGAAAAGGGAAATGGCAAAAAAAAAGAAAAAGAGAAAAGACAAGTAAAAAAAAAAAATAAGATGAAAACAAATTCCTAAGCCAGGCACGGTGGCTCATGCCTATAATCCCAGCACTTTGAAAGGCCGAGGCAAGTGGATCACTTGAGCCCAGGAGTTTGAGACCAGCCTAGGCAACACAGTGTGACCCTGTCTCTACAAAAAATACAAAAATTAGCCAGACACTGGGGCATGTGCCTTCAGTCCCAGTGACTCAAGAGGCTGAGGCAGGAGGGGAGGACAGCCTGAGACGGGGAAGTTGAAGCTGTAGTAAGTCACTGTGATCAAATCACCGTACACCAGCCTGGGCAACCCAGCAAGACCCTGTCTCACGAAAAAAAATAAAGAAAACAAATTCCTGGAAGAGAGCAGCAGTCAGGATTAGAAGTACTGAAACAATGTCCAGATGAAAGCAGGTCAGAGGTCTGACAGAGACATCTCTACACAGATGAAACTGATAGGATACCTAATGGATATCCATACCATCATTTATTGTGTTATCCTTGACTCTGAGATGTCATTAATGATATGACTAATACTGAAATTCTCTAATGGGCCAAAGATGAAAGGATCACAGGAACACACAGCAAACTGTCATGTTCCTCAAGGGTTCTAAACCTTGATGCTCTACGAATATAAGTTAGTTTACTTCACTAGTTTGACGAAATTTTATCTGTACCTGTTCCACTCAAACTTTCATTCTCTTCTTCTGTAATTACAGGCATACTCAGACTTAAAGGTTTATCTTCCTTGTGTATATTCTGCACGTTACCTAGAAATATTTAGAAAATGATTTTATATGAAAGCAAAGAATATTATACTTTTTGAGAAAACATTTTACAAAAAATGTCATTATTACAGCATAAAAATTAGACATGTAAAAACTTAAACTGTAATAGTAAGCAGAAATACACATTCTAGAATACCTATATTTTTTCAAGTACTAACATATTTTATTTATACTTTGAAAGTAGTCTCTAGTTCTTCCACTAGATAAAACAGAGAAAAAAGGAATAAAAATTAGCCAAACACAAATACCATATTTAATCTTTATCACACACAACAGGGGTTATATCTGCAGCCATCAAAGAATAATCGCATATGTTACTTCAACTTTATTAATTACAAATGTAGTTTTTGAGTTTAACAACCTTACTTTTGGATGTGAACATACTTTCTTTTCTCACCACATATGCTCTACAAGATATATTTCTCTAGTCATAATTTGCGACTGACTTTCCATTTTCAAAAACACTAGAGGTTCTCTACATCAACCTTCTGTTACCTGAAGAAATATCCCAACCAAATGTATCAGATACCATTATCATATCGAGTACCATTTAGCACAAAACTTCCATGTCCCAAAAGCAAGCCCCATAAACAGTGACTATTTTTATGCTGTTTTTCTTCGCCCAACACTTTTCTCATTTGATATATTATATCTTGCTTTTTTTTTTTTTTTTTACGGAGTCTCACTCTGTCACCCAGGCTGCAGTGCAGTGGCGCAATGTCAGCTCATTGCAACCTCTGCCTCCTGGGTTCAAGCAATTCTCCTGCCTCTGCCTCCTGAGCCTGCACACTGAGAACAGAAAGATTTCACTACAATAAGTGTAACAGATACACTATTTTTTTTTAAAAAAAAAGAGAAACATAAGAACAAAACACTGTGGCATGAAGCCATTTAGTATAAACTGCCCCACACTTAAGCTATTTTTTTTTTTTTTTTTTTGGAGACAGTCTCTCTCTCTGTAGCCCAGGCTGGAGTACAGTGGTACAATCTCAGCTCACTGCAACCTCCGCCTCCCAGGCTTAAATGATTCTCGTGCCTCAGCCTACTGAATAGGTGGGACTACAGGTGCATGCCACCACATTGGCCAGGCTGGTTTCAAACTCCCGACCTCAAGTGATCCACCTGCCTCAACCTCCCAAATTGCTGGGATTACAGACGTGAGCAACCGCATCTGGCTTCTTTCTTGATAGAATCATTACATTATAAAACCCAGTAACATAATCCTCATGATGGTGACCATGACTTGTCAAAAGAAAATTAAATTATGTTAAGGATACAGTGTTACAGAAAATAAGAGCATAAAATATATTTTACTTTAATATACTTATAATTACAAAAATGATAAATGTAGAACAAAGGAAACATATAAAAGAGAATGCAATACATTTGAGAAAATAGCCAAGAATAATTAAATTTTTAAAAAGTAAATTTTGGCTGGGCGTGGTGGCTCTCGCCTGTAATCCCAGCACTTTGGGAGGCCGAGGTGGGTAGATCACGAGGTCAGGACTTCGAGACCATCCTGGCCAACATGATGAAACCCTATTTCTTCTAAAAATACAAAAATTAGCCAGGCATAGTGGCGAGTGCCTGTAATCCCAGATACTGGGGAGGCTGAGGCAGGAGAATCGCTTGAACCCAGGAGGTGGAGGTTGCAGTGAGCCGAGATCGTGCCATTATTGTGCCACTGCACTCCAGCCTGGGTGACAGAGCAAGACTCTATCTCAAAAAAAGTGTTACATAAACAGTAGTTGCTATCATCTTCATCCATCATAGCACTGATATTACTGATGTCCTATCAACATGCATGTTATATTCGAGGAATGGTGAGCACATAATTGAAGCTTAAATAACATAAGCTTAAATAAATTCCATAAATATACTGAGCACCCATTTATGCATCAAACAATTATTACAGAAATTAAGTCTGGAAAGGCAGACTGGAGCGAATTCTCCCCCCAATGAAATCTTTATCATGTCATCATATTTCTCCAACATTAAGGACATGAATATCCTCCCAGGTGCTCAGACATTAAGCATTCTTGTCTCACCCCTCTCCACCAGCCTCCATATTTGGCTCTTATGTCTGTTAGCCTTGCTTCTCTAATTCCTACAACCATGTGGCACATGCTCGTCACTCCTAAATCTGAACTACTGCAACAGCCTTCTACTTAGTGTTCCTATTTTCAGTTTGTTCCCAGCTACCTACCATTCTACTCCTAGACTGATTTTCTTTAAGAAAAACTTTGGGCATGCCACTTTCTTGCTCAAAAGTTTCAGTTGACTTCCCCTCTGCCTACCAACTGAAGTGTAAACTACTTGATTCCACATTTAAGGCCTGGTCACAATACAACCCTCAATCTATTTTTCCAGCACTTTTAACAGTTAACTCCCCAACACACCCTTTACAATCCAATCTTAATGGACCCCTTGCTCTATACTTCCCAGCTACTTTGCCTTTTTCACACCAGCCCTTCTACTTGTCTGAGTCTATGGAATTATGTTTACCTTATTTGTAAAAAGGTCTTTGGATTTCCACTGATTAAAGTAACACACGGTTATATAAAATCCAAACATTACAGAAATTTATGGATAATTTCTCATTATACCATCCTTGAAAATTAACCACTGGTAATACTTCATACATGTCTAGATTTCTTCAGTGCTATATATTATGTTCATGTGTGTATGTGTATATATATATATTTTTGATTTATAGAAATGAGATCATACTCTTTTTTAAAAAGCCTTTTCACTAAGAAATGTATCATGTTGTACTTTATTTTTAATCGATATATTCTGGATATACTTTCATAATATAGGGCTTTCCCTAGCTTCTTTTTTTTTTTTTGAGACAGAGTCTTGCCCTGTCACCCAGGCTGCAGAGCAGTGGCATGATCTCGGCTCACTGCAACCTCTGCCTCCTGGGTTCAAGCGATTCTCCTGCCTCAGACTCCCAAGTAGCTGGGACTATAGGCGCCCGCCACCACACCCAGCTAATTTTTGTATTTTCAGTAGAGGCGGGGTTTCACCATATTGGCCAGGCTGGTCTTGAACTCCTGACCTTGTGATCCGCCCGCCTCAGCCTCCCAAAGTGCTGGGACTACAGGCGTTAGCCACCGTGCCCAGCCTCCCTAGCTTTTTAGTAACTGCAAAGTATTTCTTTGTATGGACTGACAAGAATTTTATTTACCCATTATACATTTGAGTTGTTTAGTTTGCCACTTCAAAGAATCCTGCAATGAATTTCCTTTTATATTTATGATTTGTACAGAATAATTAGCAATTCTAAAAGGCATGTACATTTAAAATTTTGACACGATTCTAAATTGCTCTATGAAAAGAATGTGCCAATTTACTCTCCCACTTAAACTGAGATTGTATTTCCTTACACTTTCACTATCAATGGGTATTACACCTTTAATCTTTGCTGATCAAATAATATAAAAATCATGTTTTAATTTATATATCTGTAATTATAGATGAAATTCAATTATTTCCTATATGCATTGACTTTCTGCCTGCATTTGTGATTGCCTGTTCATGTCCTAAGCTATTTTTCTACTGGGTGGTGGCCCTTTTCTTATTCATTTATAAGAGCTCTTTTAAAATTAGAAATTTTAAAAGTATCATATGTGCAAATGGATTTGTAAGATCTTTTGCCTTTTATGGAACTGAGGCTCCTCTTTTTGAAAAACTATAAAATCAAAAATACCTTTTCACTGTATGGAAATGAACTTTTGATTAATGGGAAACTACAAAGTAAGCATTTGGGTCTTTATTATTCAGGTAACTACTTCTGCTTCAGAGTATTTACAATACCTTAGCTGGATTAGTTAAGCCATGATGGAGATCTGAATTCAGATCACATTTATAATACTTTAGTCTTTCTCATGGGTAAATCCTCCCTAACAACCTGAGAAAATTCATTAACAAATCTCAGATGTACTACAGAGCCTGTACTTAAGTTAGTTTTAGAATTTACAAAACAGTTGTTTTTAGGAACTGATTAAGATATGATTAACAAAGGAAGTGATATTTCATAAATTATACCTGTCACATATTCAAGATGAAAGCTCATTTCATTTAACTTTCTTTTCCTATTTTGCTCTTGTTCCTCCTTTGTTCCTCAACCACATTAAAAAAATTTTTTTCAGGTCTTCAAGAAAGCAGCTTGGCCAGCTTATCACATTGCTATGCCTATATGAAGGCTATTAATAAAAAGTGCTTGTGAGGGTTTCTAAACCTAAATATCTTTGGTACTTCTGTTAAAGTGAACTAAATATGGCCTGAGAAGGACTCCATACTTCTATATTTGAGTCCTTATGGACAAATTGCAATCTAGCTTAATAGGTAGACAAGAGTGAAAACCCAATTTAGCAGTATATGCCTGAACAACAGCTGAGTCTTGGCCAATCCCAGCGGCGGTACTTCAACCATTCATACACTGCTGAGTCTTCAAACTGTGTTCAAACAAGGCAAATGCCGAGCCATAACCAATCCAGCTGTTCTGTATCTCACTTCCGATTTCTGTACCTCATTTCCCTTTTGTTGGCTATAAATCTTCCACCACGTGGCTGCGCTGGAGTCTCTGAATCTGCTGTGATTCTGGGGGCTGTGTGATACTCCAATAGTTCATTGCTCAATTAAACTCCTTTAAATTTAATTCAGCTGAACATTTTCTTTTCAGAAAAAAAAACATTTTAATCTACCAGAAGTTAATTTTTGAAATACAACCAAACTAAACAATCTTTTCCTTATGTCCTCTCTTTTTGCTCGTGTTTGGCCATCAGTCAGGTTTATTGAAGTATTATTAACATACAATAAAATTCACCCATTTTTGCTGTACAGAGCAGTTTGGACAAATGCATGGTTGTGGAAACTACCACTGCAATGAAAATACAGATTTCCATCACCCCAAAAATTTCTCTGTGCCCCTTTGCATTCAACACCTTCCCCTACCCCTAAGTCCCTAGCAACCAAATACATATTTTCTGTCCCTAAAGATTTGCCTTTTCCAGAATGTCACATAAATAGAATCATACAGTATATAGCCTTTTGTATCTGTCTTCTTTCACAGAGCACACTGAATTCAGATTCATCTACGTTGTTACATGTATGACAGCTCTTTTATTGCTGGATTATATTTCATTGTATGGATATGCCACAGTTTATCCAATCAGCAGTGGAAGGATTTTTAGGCTGTTTGCAGTTCTTGCAATTATGAATAAAGCCACATAAACTTTTGCATACACATTTCTGTGTGAACATTAAGTATTCATTTCTCTTGTATAAATACCAAGGAATAGTATTTCTGGGTCAGATGATAAGTACATGTTTACCTTTTAAAAACTGTTGAGTTTTCCAAAGTAACCACATCATTCTGGATTCACACCAGAAAAGTATGCAGGTTCCACTTGTTTCAAATCATCAACAGCTTTTTTCATTACAATTTTTGTTTTGTTTTGTGGGGTCTTTTTGTTGCTGTCATTCAGGGTTTAGTGGAATGTCACTGTGGTTTTAATTTACATTTCTCTAATAACTAAAGATGCAGAGCATCTTTTCATATGCTTATTTGCCATCCATATATTTTCTTTGGTGAAATGTTTTAGCCATTTCTTCATTGGGTGGACTATATATTTATTGAGTTAGACTTCTTTATATATTACTAGTTTGGATACAGGACCTTTAATCAGGGTAGTAGTTTGCAGAAATTTTCTCACAGTCTATGGCTTATCTTCTCATCTTCTTAACAGTGTCTTCTGAAGACAAAAATTGTAACTTTGAGAATGCAGATTTATCAATTTTTTCTGTTTCATGATTTGCTTGTGTTTTTTTGTGTCATGTATTTTAAAATCTTGCCCAGTCCAAGAACACACACATTTTTCTCCTACATATTTTTTCACAAGTTTTATAATTTAGGTTTCAAATTTAGTCCATAATCCATTTTGAATTTTTTTTTGGATAAGATAAGGGATATTGGTCTTTAGTTCTTTCTTGCAACGTCAATAAGCTGCAAAGTATTCCCTCTTGTATTTTCTGAAAGAATCTAGATCTAGATCACTCCTTTCTTAAATGTTTGCTGAAATTTCCAGAGAAGCCTGGGAATTTAATTTCTTAGCAGTGTGAGAGGAAAATAAATCTTAGGACCCCAAAATCACTAAGCTAAAGGGAAAAATCAAGCTAGGAACTGCTTAGAGCAAACCAGCCTACCATTCTATTCAAAGTCATCCCTCTGAGGCTCACCGAAGACAAATGCATACTGATTGGTTCCTCTCCCCTATTGCTCATGTGAAAATGCAGATTCATTGAGCCAGAGTAAATTGCGTATTATTCGTATTAGGTGGAAGGCCATCAAAGACTCAAAAAATGCAATGCAACTTTTTGTCTTACCTACTTCTAACCTGGAAGCCCCCACTTGTTGCCTTACCAGACCAAACCAATGTACAACTTACATATATTGATTGATGTGTCATGTCTCCCTAAAATGTATAAAAGCAAACTGTAACCCGACCACATTGGGCGCACGCCTCAGGACTTCCTGAGGTTGTATCACAGGCACATCCTTAACCCGGGCAAAACAAACTTTCTAAATCGACTGAGACCTGTCTCAGATGTTTTGGGGTCTCAGTAGACATGACTATTCAGATTTCTTCCATCAGCGTCAGTTTTAGAAACTTATGTCTCTTTTTTTTTTTGAGACAGAGTTTTGCTGTTGTTGCCCAGGTTGGAGTGTAAAGGCACATCTGGGCTCACCGCAACCTCCACCTCCCGGGTTCAGGCGATTCTTCTGCCTCAGTCTCCCAAGTAGCTGGGATTGCAGGCATGCGCCACCAAGCCCGGCTAATTTTGTATTTTTAGTAAAGACGGGGTTTCTCCATGTTGGCCAGGCTGGTCTCAAACTCCCGACTTCAGGTGATCCACCTGCCTCAGCCTCCCAAAGTGCTGTGATTACAAGCATGAGCCACGGCGCCTGGCCTGGAAACTTGTGTCTCTTAATAAATTTATCCATTTTATTTAAGCTATCTAACTTACTGGCATAAAATTATTTATAATTTTGCCTTGGTCACCTTTTAATCTTTGTAAGGTCTACAGTGGTAATCCTTACCTCCCTAAATTTTTGTTCCTATTTTTCAGCAAATTCTCTTTAGAATATTTTAGGCATAAAATCATTCACAAATCATGAAAATTTTCTAGGCTCTCTTTCTGATGTCGTATCTCCCTTCACTCTCCTGTCTGATTACACTGACTAGCTCTTTAAGAGCAACGTTAAATAAAACTGTGATACTTCTTGCATATTACCATTGAACATGAGGCAACTTATAATCTAATACATGCGTGCACACACACACTTTTAAGATTAAAGAAATAATCTTCTATTTTATCTAGGGCAGGGGCAGGAGTTAACAAACCCCAGGACCAAATGTGACCCACCACCTGCTTTTATACAGTTTTACTGGACTACAACCACATTCAGGTGTTTTGGTATTATCTATAGATACTTTCACATTACAATGGCAGAGCTGAGTAGTTGTGACAGAAACATGGCCCACAAAACCTAAAATATTTACTACCTGGCCCTTTACAGAAACAGTTTGCTAACTCCTTGATCTAGAAGATTTTTTTTTTTAAATCAAGAATGGATGCTGGTCCCAGCACTTTGGGAGGCCGAGACGGGCGGATCACGAGGTCAGGAGATCGAGACCATCCTAGCTAACACGGTGAAACCCCGTCTCTACTAAAAAAAAAAAATACAAAAAACTAGCCAGGTGTGGTGGCGGGCACCTGTAGTCCCAGCTACTCGGGAGGCTGAGGCAGGAGAATGGCGTAAACCCGGGAGGCGGAGCTTGCAGTGAGCTGAGATCCGGCCACTGCACTCCAATCTGGATGACAGAACGAGACTCCGTCTCAAAAAAAAAGAATGGATGCTGGATATTATCAAATGTCTTCTTTGGTAACTATTAAAATAAATTCACATTTTCCCCTTTAACCTATTGATGTGGTAAATCATATTAATAGATTCTGAATGCATCCTGAAATAAGTGTACTCAGTTAAGGTGTTTTTGTGTCTAGGATTATTTTTGATACATATGACTTAGGATTTTTTCAGTAATACTCATGAGTGTAGTCTAACAATTTTCTTCACAATATCCTTCAGCATTGTGAAAGGAAGTAGAAAAATTTCCTTTTGAACTATTTCTCGATCATACTTAACAAATATGGTATCTCCTCTGAATTCTCAGTGCACTTCAAGCTACTGTTACAGTACTTAATCATATCTGGGACATATTAAAGGTATTTAACTTCAATTCTCCTTCCACTGCTTCAATAAAGGGGGAAAAATGCTAAAAGGCTGTTAACTTATCTTCATATATTCCTGCAGTAGTTAGGAGTGAATTTCGTGTTAGTATTAAATATTTACTAACGTTTCTAATGATCTTTTTCTCACCCCAAGTAAACCTGTTAATCAAATTCCAAATTTATGTAGGGTACATATATATTATTCATACAATTTTTTAAAAAAACAAACGATTGCTGGGTGCAGGGGCTCACGCCTGTAATCCCAGCACTTTGGGAGGTCGAGGCCAGTGAATCATGAGATCAGGAGTTCAAGACCAGCCTGGCCAACATAGTGAAACCCCGTCTCTACTAAAAATACAAAAAAAAAAAAATTACCCAGGTGTGGAGGTGGGTGCCTGTAGTCTCAGCTACTTGGGAGGCTGAGACAGCAAAATCACTTGAACCTGGGAGGCGGAGGTTGCAATGAGCTGAGATTGTGCCATTGCACTCCAGCGTAGGCAACAAGAGCAAAACTGCATCTCAAAAAAAAAAAAAAAAAAAAAAAATGCACTGGATAATTCTAGACTGATTTCATAACTATCTAGCTATTAATTATCACTTTAGACAAGTTATTTAATCTCTATAGGCCTAAATTTCTTTCTTTTTGTTTTTTGTTTTGTTTTGAGACAGTCTTGCTCTGTCACCTACGCTGGACTGAAGCGCATGATCTCAGCTCACTGCAACCTCCACCTTCCAGGTTCAAGCAATTCTCGTGCCTCAGCCTGCCAAGTAGCTGGGATTACAGGCGTGCACTACCATGCCCAGCTTTTATATTTTTAGTAGAGACGGGGTTTCACCATGTTGGCTAGGCTGGACTCGAACTCCTGACCTCAAGTGATCCACCCACTTAGGCCTCCCAAAGTGCTGGGATTACAGGCATGAGCCACAGCACCTGGCCAGGTCAAAATTTCATCACCTATAAAATGATACATTTGATATGATTCCTAGGGTCCCTTTCCAGCAATAAGTTTCCAAGAATCTAACAATTTATTTTTAATATTAAATCTCAAAAAAATGTTCTCAAACAAGTATCTAATCCTTCTTAACAACGAAATAAAGATGAGGCAAAGTTGTAAATAGAACCCATTCTCCTTTGTTGAGTCTTAGTAAGACTTTAAAAAATTACCTTTGTTTCTGAAAGACATCTTCCTTCCTGCTGGTTTCAATCTTTCTTTCTTCTCTTTTTTCCTAGTTGCTTTGACTTGCCCTTGACCAGATGCAGAATCACAGTCAGAAGAGTCAAGTTTGACTTGACGATGCCTTCTTGATTTGGATGCCTTAAGAGTTACAATCCAATTAACCAATAAATTATAAAATGAATACAAATGACAGGTAATTCAGAGGAAGACAAAATGTACAATCAAAGATGAGGAAAGATTTACAGAAATATCTGTCATAAAGTACTTTACTATTACCCCTGGCTGGTTTACTATAATATAACTACCTGTGTCATGTAAATAGTCTATTCTTCTTATAACATGAAGTTTCCTGCAGCTGTCACCACTATCTGCTCACATGGGCTTTAAATGAAGTTGTTCTATTATCTGGCATGGTTGGGCAACAAAGGTGTAGAGGCATCTTCTAATAAACTTACTTCCCGTAGGCACTACCATGTGTTCCAAGTAGAAGTACTTCATGCTTGGCTCCAGGTTTGGCCATGTGGCCCAGATCTGGCCACAATGAGTTTAACATCCCCATGGCCAGGGTAATTTGTTGGGAGTGGGGAGGCAAGTAGGCGGGGTATGTGGTATGTATCATGGCTAATGAAATGTTATTTTGGAATTGTTTAACTATTAGGAAGGAAAGATTCTTTCTTGCCTTGGAAGCTAAAACTGGGAACACGCAAGGCTGAAGCTGTCAGGAAAATAGCACTTGACGGCAGTGAAAATGGAGGGCCAGTCTTAATGATATCTTTGTCTGAGACACAGATATCTTTAGCCAATCCTGGCTATGGATTTGTTTTGTTATATCAGTAGGTGAATTCCCTTACTTGCTTAAGCAAAGAATTTTTGGTTAATGTTGTATATGCAATACAGGTATTAACAATTCTTTTTTCTTTTCTTTTTTTTATTTTTATTTTTTATTTTTGAGATGGAGTCTTGCTCTGTAGCCCAGGATGGAGTGCGGTGGCACGATCTCAGCTCACTGCAACCTCCACCTCCTGCGTTCATGCCATTCTCCCGCCTCAGCCTCCCGAGTAGCTGGGACTACAGGCACCCACCACCATGCCTGGCTAATTTTTTGTATTTTTAGTAGAGACACGGTTTCACCGTGTTGGCCAGGATGGTCTCAAGCTCCTGACCTCGTGATCAGCCCACCTTGGCCTCCCAAAGTGCTGGGATTACAGGCCTGAGCCACCGCGTCCGACCAACAACTCTTAAAAAGCAACCACGTATAGTTGTCTCTCAGTATCCATGGAGGATTAGTTCCAGGACTTCCTTCGGATACCAAAATCCAGAGATGCTCAAATTCCTGATGTAAAATTGTGTAGTATTTGCATATAACCTATGCACTTCCCTCCCATATACTTTCAATCATCTCTAGATTACTTATAATACCTAATATTATGAAAGTGATTGTCATATTATTCAGGGAATATAACAGCAAGGAAAAAAGTGTGTCCATATTTGGTACAGATGCATTTTTTTGTTCAAATATTTTCAATCCACAATTGGTTGAATCCATAGACGCAGAAACCATAGATACACTACGGTAACCAAAACAGCATTGTACTGGTACAAAAACAGACACATAGACCAATGGAACAGGACAGAGAACTCAGAAATAAAGCCACACACCTACAACCACCTGATGTTTGACAAAGTTGATAACAAAAATTGACAAGTGAGACCTAATTAAACTACAGAGCTTCTGTAAAACAAAAGAAACAACAGAGTAAACAGACAACCTACAGAATGGGAGAAAATAGTCACAAACTTGGCATTCAATGAAGGTCTAATATTCAGAATCTATAAGAAAATTAAACAATTCAACAAACAAAAAAACCACCTCATTAAAAAATGGGCAAAGGGCTGGGCACAGTGGCTCCTAGCACTTTGGAAGGCTGAGGTGGGACTGAAAAAACAGGCAGGTGCATTGAAAATCTATAGAGAATAGTGTCTCATTCCTCAAACTCAGAGCTAGGCAACTGACTTTCTCCTATACAAAACAGAAGGCCTGCTGCTCTCTGAAGAGGCTAAACGAGAAAGGCTGTGGGCTCAAAGGAAACTGGTGTAGGTGAGGAAGGAGATGAGGACTCTTACTGAAAATAGAGGGGCTGAGTGAAACCTGCATAAGGAATGGTGAGCCTCATGTCTGATTCTCTCTGTAGGCTCCCAAAACACTGGCAGCTGGGCTTATTGCCCACCCTCCTCCCCTAGACAAGGAAGTGAAAGATTGTTCTTTAAATAACTAGATCCAAGACAAAGAAATCTAGAGGTTAGATAAGCTCTTGATCTCCTCTTGATCACCCTTAAATATGAAAAGACATCTGAGGATCTTCAATCATATTTTTTTTTTGAGATGGAGTCTCGCTCTGTCGCCCAGGCTGGAGTGCAGTGGCGCAATCTCGGCTCACTGCAAGCTCCGCCTCCCAGGTTCACACCATTCTCCTGTCTCAGCCTCCCCGAGTAGCTGGGACTACAGGCGCCCGCCACGGCGCCCGGCTAATTTTTTGTATTTCCAGTAGAGACGGGGCTTCACTGAGTTAGCCAGGCTGGTCTTGATCTCCTGACCTCGTGATCCACCCGCCTCAGCCTCCCAAAGTGCTGGGATTACAGGTGTGAGCCACCACGCCCAGCCTTCTTCAATCATTTAGCCAACAAAATGGGCCAGGTGCAGTGGCTCACGCCTGTAATCCCAGCACTTTGGGAGGCCGAGGCAGGTGGATCACCTGAGGTCGGGAGTTCAAGACCAGCCTGGCCAACATGGAGAAACCCCGTCTCTACTAAAAATACAAAATTAGCCAGGTGTGGTGGCACATGCCTGTGATCCCAGCTACTCAAGAGGCTGAGGCAGGAGACTCACTTGAACCTGGGAGGCAGAGGTTGCGGGGAGCCAAAATCGCACCATTGCACTCCAGCCTGGGCAATAAGAGCAAAACTCCATCTCAAAAAAAAAAAAAAAAAAGTCAACAAAGTGAAAGAGCTCAAACAAATAGAAAAAAAAGAACTCACAGGAAATGGGAGGAACCATCAAAAAAACTGTAGTTAATATCCTTAAAGAGAAAAAGTTATTGCATCCTGTGAAAAAGAAAAATACATTTAAAAAAAACAAAACAAGAAGCATTCAGAGAACAAAAAAAATTATTGGTAATGAAAAAATATCAGGGGAAATTTTTTTTAAATCAATATAATGGTTCAGAAGATAAAGCCTAAGAAATCTCCCTGAAAATAGAAAATGAGACAGAAACTAAAAATAGAAGAGAAAAATAAGAAAAGTTGAAGAAGAGAAAAGATGCAGCAAAGAACATTTGTATCGAAGAAACAATACAGAAACTTCTTCAGAACTGAAGGATATCAGATTAAAAGGAGGTCACCATGAGTGCCATGGGCAATAAACAAAAAAGATGTACACCAAGTTACATTATATGTACTAAATGAAATTTCAGAACTCCAGGGACAAAGCAAAACCCTAAAACCTTCCAAAATCAGGAATACTAGAAGCTGGAAGACAATAAAGGAAATGGCATCAAAATTCCAGGTAAATATTAGAAGAAACTGCTAAAAGAAAAGAAGTCGAAGATGTTGCCTCTCAAGGTTAGGAATACAAGGGTAGGAAGTGGCAGAGAAGGGGTCTGTTGTGCTATATAACCTCTCTAGCATTTGACTTTTAAAACTAAGTACATGTATCACTACTTTGATGAAAAATTGAAATATAATTTAAAAAGCAGTCAATTTCCAAATTACCTTATTAAAGAATAACTCACCTGAATGACAACTGAAAAGGCCTTTGATTTTATTTTCGCTAATGATTCTGCCCTTTCACATCTCTGGATGTAAAATAAGAAGGAAAAAAAAGTTAAAACACACAAACAATAGGTGAAAAAACTGAATACCCAAGTATTTATTATCAGAAATAAGATTTTAGACAGAAGGTAGGGTAAAAGAAACTAACATATATTGGGTACACACACATAAACATACATCATATTCTCTCACAGATGTAGCAGGTGCCATAATACTATCCCCGTAGTTACAGATCATTTTCATTCAGGATTCAAGGAGGACAATATGAATGAAAGCCTGGGTGATCAGGCAGAGCCTTGAACTGCCATTCCCTCCTCATCTGCCTATACTCAAAGATGGCTCCTTGTCTCATCCACTAAGATGGATGAAAACTCTGGAGGCAGGAAGCAGTATACCGTGTAATGGCTTAGGCTCCACACTGGTTGAAAGGCTGACAAGTCAGAAAAGATATATTACAAAAGCCTGATCCTGATCCTCTATTAACTGAGGGCACCTTCCATAGTCGAGCTTTCCTTTCCCTACGGAAAACTATTATCATCCTCTCTCCCAACCTACACTTGATGTGGCCTCCACAAGGCTTCCAGTAAATAACAAACTACCTTTTCACAAAACCATGATTCAGAATTTTCTCTTATATTTCTTATAATACTGACCATGGGTCACAATGCTTAGTATACAGAATCACAGCCACACATAATATGAATTGCAAAGTTTTCTGACCTCTGTTTCTTGTGAATTTCCTTCCATTTTTTCTTCTCCATCATTAATTTTTGATTTTAAGGATGGATTCTAAAAGAGCAAAAAAGATACATACACACACACACAAATTTACAATTCAATTAACTGCAAATCAATTTTAGAACAGTGAGAAATCATTACTTTTAATAAATGAAAAACTAAAAGATCATTCACATTATATACCACCTAACATTAAGATCACAGGTTTCAAAATGTTCTACAATTCATCAATAAAATGCTTAAATCCTCCTAATTAATATGGTAGTCTCTATGTGGTAGTAAGAAAACAGGCTTATTCTCCTTTCCTTCAGGTTTTCAGAGCTCGTAGTAATGCTCTTTGAAGAGAGTTTATCTATTAAAAGAGAATACTGGCTATGCATGGTGGCTAATCCTGTAATCCTAATACTCTGGGAGGCTGAGGTGGGAGGATCACTTAAGGCCAGGAGTTCCAAACCACCCTGGGCAACATAGCAAGACCCCATCTCTACAAAAAAATTTTAAATTTTGCTGGTTCTATCCCTGGCAACATAGCAAGACGCTGTCTCTACAAAAAATAAAAAAAATTAGCTGGGCATGGTGGCATATGTCTGCAAACCCAGCTACTCAGAAGGCTGAGGTGGGTGGATCACTTAAGCCTGGGAGGTCGAGGCTGTAGTGAGCTGTAGTCTTGCCACTGCATTCCAGCCAGGGTGACAGAGCAAGAAGACCCTGTCTATATACGTACATATAAAGAATACTAACAATTTTTTTACATTAAATGCCTAAGTCATTTGTGTAACCTATTTGTAGGACTTAAAGTATCCAAACATTGTAAAACTTGCTATCTCTCATTAAAATAAATGCAGAGGAATAAAGTTATTTTCTTCTTCCCAAGACTATCATCTTCTTATCAGTTTCCTTGTTTATCTTTTCTAAAATTAAGCTGTGAGCCAGGTTCCTTTATATAACAGAAAGTGAAAAAGTAGCAAGAAATCTTCCTGAAAGACGATATATAGATAACAGTATCTGTGTGACATCTGTGAAAACACCAGCACATTATCAAGACACACAGTAAGTAATCAGAAATTGCTTACTTTTTAAAAATTGTTTTCCTAGATTTACTAAAATAAGATGGAGTAATAGTTTCAAAAGTAAACTTCACAAGGCTAGCCTTTAGGTGTCCAGGGTAAAAAAGTTCCTCTAGCTGAAAAGGCTAATGTGAAACCATCAATACTTTTGGTTAAATAAACTAAGTTGAAGATCTGTGATGATGAGACCTGCAAAAAGATAAACCACACCAGGTAGACAATATGTAAACAGAGAAACACCTGCCCTATCGCAGTAGGAAAAGCCACCACTTAGGTCCCACTGTCTGCTGTCATGCAGCAAAGTGGAATCAGTATTACCAGTCTAGAATTTTAGGTGAGGTCCACAAGTACTTAAAAGTTGGTAATTAACTCAAAAATTTTAAACAATGTTAAAATCAACACTATGCCAAACAAAACACATCTGTGTGCAGGATTTAGCCCAAAGACCGAGTGTGCAACCCCTAGAAAAATGCCAAATTATAAAGACTGTAATAAATCTGTGGTGTAACAAGATTATTTACTCTTCTACCAAAAAAAGGAAAATACATATAAATTCCATCTGTAAGGTTAAATAACATCACATACCTAGTAAGTGGCAAAAGTGGAACTAGAAAAGCCAAGCCCTCTAAATCTTAGCTCCACAGGATTACAGCCTCTAACACTAGGCTGCCTCTCAACATTATCATCCATGGATAATCATTCGTGTATAGTAAAATGGTGAAGCACCAAACAAGTGATTGCATACCTTTCTGTCTTTGTGCCACTGCTGATGCTCCAAAACTATGTTCTTAATATTGTCAAAAAAATCATCCTTTATCAAACTGAGGGCTTTATCTGGCTTGGACTTATCAACCGAAATTACACGTTTCATGTTCTGATAATGATCATGAACATTCAGCATTTCCTAAAAGCAAAAAGATGAGTCCTTTATTTAACTTTTTGAGGAGAAACTAAAAGGCAAAACCAACACAAAATAGTCACCTTCCAAGGTGACTTCCAGTTGATAGGGAATAACATGCTACAGTATGTTGAAAATAACATAATCATGTAAACAAAATAGTGCAACTTCATTAACATAGAGGTATGGATTCCAGAGGTATGGATTTACTGACTTACCTCAACAAACATTAACTAAGATACACTTACAGGAAGACACTGGGGAAAGACGAATCAGTTAACATACAATTCCATTCTAGAATATCACAATTATTTGTAGCATGATGTATCATTAAATATTGCTACTGATAACTAAGATATTTTTATATCATATTGTCACATCAAGAATATTTATGGCCAGGTGCGGTGGCTCACGCCTGTAGTCCCAGAACTTTGGGAGGCCGAGGTGGGCGGATCACGAGGTCAGGAGATCGAGACCATCAGGGCTAACACGGTCAAACCCCATCTTTACTAAAAATACAAAAAATTGGCCGGGCGTGGTGGTGGGCGCCTGTAGTCCCAGTGACTTGGGATGCTGAGGCAGGAGAATGGGGTGAACCCAGGAGGAGGAGCTTGCAGTGAGCTGAGATCATGCCACCACACTCCAGCCTGGGTGACAGAGCAAGACTCCATCTCAAAAAAAAGAAAAGAATATTTACATAGTCCTTTATGCTCTGCTGGAAATTCCTATGTAATGACTCTCATCCCAACCTGCCACAGAAATCCCAAAACCTATGTGCCTGTTCCCATAAGTTTCACCATTACTTCAGCGATAAGATTCAGGATTAAAAGAAATAGAGGGTAGGCCGGGTGCGGTGGCTCACGCCTATAATCCCAGCACTTTGGGAGGCCAAGGCAGGAGGATCACGAGGTCAGGAGTTCAAGACCAGACTGGCCAACATGGTGAAATCCCATCTCTACTAAAAACACAAAAATTAGCCGGGTGTGGGGGTGGGCGCCTGTAATCCCAGCTACCTGGGAGGCTGAGGCAGGAGAACTGCTTGAACCTGGGAGGCGGAGGTTGCAGGGAGCCAAGATCGCACTGCCACTGCACTCCAGTGGGGGCAAGAGAGCAAGACTCCATCTCAAAACAAAAAAGAAAGAGGGTGATTTATGACACCATTTGTGGCATTATTTATTAGATCTTCTTCCTCCAAAAATCTCCAGCCAAATGGGCAGATCTGTGGGGTAAGGAAAAAGACAGCATACTACAGGTGGACTTAAGAAAACCTGGCATAGGGACTTGGCTCTAAGATCAGGAGAGAACTACTGACATTTCCATCACAGATGGACATTGCAACATCTGAGTCATCCCTAACTCAGAATACTCAATTCATTTCCAGATTTTGGTAGAATCAATACCTGTTCAAGAAATAAGACACTAGGCCAGGTGCAGAGGCTCATGCCTGTAATCCCAGCACTTTAGGAGGCTGAGGAGGGCGGATCACCTGAGGTAAGGAGTTTGAGACCAGCCAGACCAACAAGGAGAAACCCCATCTCTACTAAAAATACAAAGTTAGCTGGGTGTGGTGGCACATGCCTGTAATCCCAGCTACTCAGGAGGCTGAGGCAGGAGAATCGCTTGAACCCAGGAGGCAGAGGTTGCGGTGAGCCAAGATCGTGCCATTGCACTCCAGCCTGGGCAACAAAAGTGAAACTCGTCTCTTAAAAAAAAAAAAAAAAGAAATGAGAAACTGATCAATAGTGGTAAGTGCTCACATACACGGGATCTGCAATGGGAGAACAGTGTCCAGACATGGAGAGCCCCTAACTCTTTATAGTTTACATTGGCTGTGCTCTCATGATTTTTATTTCATGTGATATAGAAAGACCACCAGTCAGATCTAGTTTTTGAGTCTGAGCTCTGTCATTTGCTCAATGTATGACAATGGGGAAGTCCCTCAACCTAAGAATCACGTTCGCGTTTCACATTTGTACAAAATGAACAAACCCACCATTGTTAATTATTAAACAAGCTTATTATACAGGTGAAAGTATTCTGTATAATGTAAAGCATAACAAAAAAGAAGCACATGGTATGCACCGTAGTCCACTACAGAAGGGAGGATGAGACGGCTGAGCAGAATCAAAACAAAATAGCAAGACCCCACCTGAAAAAAAAAAAAGAAAAATAAATAAAAAAAAAGACAGTGAATATGGAGCTACAGACTTGAATAAACCAGTGTCTGTATTATTGGTCACTGAACAAATACTAACTTCTCTAAACCTCAGTTTCCTTATTTTAAAACTGGGGGCCAGGTGCAGAGGCTCATGCCTGTAATCCCAGCACTTTGGGAGGCTGAGGTAGGCAGATCACCTGAGGTCAGGAGTTCGAGACCAGCCTGGCCAACATGGTGAAACCCCATCTCTACTAAAAATACAAAAAATTAGCTGGGCATGGTGGCGGGTGCCTGTAGTCCAAGCTATTCGGGAGGCTGAGGCAGGAGAATCATTTGAACCTGGAAGGTGGGGAGGTGGAGGTTGCAATGAGCCACGATCATGCCACTGCACTCCAACCTGGGCAATAAGAGGGAAACTCTGCTTTAAGAAAAAAAAAAAAAAAAAAAGGCCAGGTGCAGTGGCTCATGCCTGTAATACCAGCACTTCAGGAGGCCGAGGCGGCCAGATCACCAGGCCAGGAGATCAAGACCATCCTGGCTAACACAGTGAAACTCCGTCTCTACTAAAAAAAAAAAAATACAAAAAATTAGCCGGGCATGGTGGTAGGCACCTGTAGTCCCAGCTACTCAGGAGGCTAAGGCAGGAGAATGGCTTGAACCGGGAGGCAGAGCTTGCAGTGAGCCGAGATCGCGTTCCAGCCTGGGCGACAGAGAGAGACTCCATCTCAAAAAAAAAAAAAACTGGGGAAATACCACCTCCTCTGCAGGGTTACTATGACAGTTAGTAAGATAACACACGTAGAACATCTAGCATAGTTCCAGGCATTTGGTGAGTACTCAGCACACAATGTCCATTATTATAACTATATAAATGAAGAACAGAAATGAAATAATTTGCTCAAGGTCCTACTTACATAGCAGAGGGCTAGAAGTCAAATGTTTTGATTCAGTATCCTGTTCTCTTTTCATTTTATTATGCCTCCTTAACCACAAAACTAGAACAAGTGGCAGAATCATGACCAGAATTTGGATCTTCTGAAATGAAGACTTAACAGCAGTTGCAGGCAGTAAAAGGAAAATTTAAGAGTATTAAATTTAAGCATTATCAGTGAGAATGGATCACAGGCTATGCTAGGACAAAAGATACAGAGCCAGCAGAAGTATCAAGGGACAAGGCTCTCAAAGCAATTATGTCACAAGCCAGAGATCCAACAGAGCCAGGATAACTTCACAGACTATTCCATTCCTAAAAGCTTCCAGGTATAGGTATTTCATAGCCTGACCCTTCTGACACTCTTCTCTATTCACTCTAAAAGAGTAGACCTTTGTGCATCACCCCCAACTTAAAAGAGCTTAGAATGAAAAAGCACGTTGAAAAAGATATGGGCCGGGCGCGGTGGCTCAAGCCTGTAATCCCAGCACTTTGGGAGGCCGAGACGGGTGGATCACAAGGTCAGGAGATCGAGACCATCCTGGCTAACATGGTGAAACCCCGTCTCTACTAAAAATACAAAAAACTAGCCGGGCGAGGTGGCGGGCGCCTGTAGTCCCAGCTACTCCGGAGGCTGAGGCAGGAGAATGGCGTGAACCCGGGAGGCGGAGCTTGCAGTGAGCTGAGACCTGGCCACTGCACTCCAGCCTGGGCGACAGAGCGAGACTCCGTCTCAAAAAAAAAAAAAAAAAAAAAAAAGAAAAGAAAAAGATATGTTGAAAAAAATTTACATTCTACCACCAAATTGGTCAATAGTCAGAAAAATTATAACCAGCCAAGCATGGGGGCTCATGCCTATAATCCCAACACTGTGGGGAGGCCAAGGTAGGAAGAGCAATCAAGCTCAGGAGTTCAAGACCAGCCTGGGCAACATAGCAAGACCTTGTCTCTACAAGAAAAATTTTTAAGATTAGCCAGCATGGGCCAGGTGCGGTGATTCACGTCTATAACACCAGCACTTTGGGAGGCCAAGGTGGGTGGATCAAGAGGTGAGGAGTTCAAGACCAGCCTGGCCAAGATAATGAAACCCTGCCTCTACTAAAAATACAAAGATTAGCCCGGCGTGGTGGCACGCGCCTGTAATCCCAGGTATTCAGGAGGCTGACACAGGAGAATCGCTTGAACCTGGGTGGCAGTTGCAGTGAGCCAAGATCATACCACTGCACTCTAGCCTGGGCCACAGAGCAAGAGTCTGTCTCAAAAAAATTAATTAATTAATTAATTTAATTTAATTTAATTAGCCAGCATGATGGTGAGTGCCTGTAGTCCCAGCTACTCAGGAGGCTGAGGTGGGAGGATCACTTAAGCCCAGGAGATTAAGGGTGTAGTGAGCTACAATCGCACCACTGCACTCCAGCCGGGATGATAAAGCAAGATCCTGTCTCAAAAATTTTAAAAAAGAAATTATAACCAACTGGGTTCAAATCATCTTTTTCATTAGAATATTGATAAGAATGTCTTGCTGTTTGAAAATGCCCTGTGCCTCTCTCTTCATGATTCACATCAGCATTTCTCAGCTTTCTGGCATCCTGAAATCTTTCTTCCATTCTCCATAATTGCTAGTCCAAACATTTTCAACTCTCAGTTCCCTGACCCCGATGATGCTCTCTTACAGTTCAGGCAGTCAGGTCTGTTTGCCTTCTATTTCTCCTCTACACAAAGATTTATAAAAATCCATTCTCACCTTCTTTCCTCAAGTTTCAAAGGAAGAAGTACGCCTTCTGCTCAAGGCTACTCTCTCCACTGGATTCTCAATCACAGACACACCCACCTCCTCCATAGCAGGAACCCTGCTGCTACCTCTCCTGTATACAACCATTCCCTCTAACTAGCTCCTTACTTCAACTCTAAACATAAACATTATTTCTCTCCAATCTCTAAAACTTTACGACTCCCCTCTGCCAAAAAGACAAAATACAAATTCCTTCTATTATACAAAGTACTTTTATCTTATTTAGTTTTGTACATAAACTCTCTCCCACCTCTTTCTCGCTAAGCTGCTAAAGGGAAAAAAAAATCCTAGTTCTTGTTACACTTCACTCATTTGCTTGTCGAATGACAAATTTCCAACCCCAGTCCCACCTCAGACCAGTCCTTTGCTATCCACAAACAGGCACTGCAGCCATACAGAACTGAGTTTGAAGCTTAGCTCCATCACTTCCTAACCTAGTCTCTGTAACTCAGTTTCCTCAACTTTAAATCACAGATAAAACCCCCTGCTTTTAAAAATTCTTTTAAACACTTATTTTGCAGAAATGTTGAAGTAAAACAATCTACACAAAACATCTTCCCAGAGTTCCTGCATTATACTATGTCTTCAGATATTGAGGAATATTCAGTTCCTTGTAATACAGTAATCCTTAACCTTTTTGGGGGACATGAACACCTTTGAGAATCTGAGGATAGTTACAGTACCTCACCCTAAAAATGTATCCTTATGGGCTGGGCAGGGTGGCTCATGTCTGTTATCGCAGTACTTCGGGAGGCCAAGGCGGGCAGATCGCCTGAGCTCAGGAGTTCGAGACCACCCTGGGCAATATGGTGAAACCCCGTCTCTACTAAAATACAAAAAATTAGCCAAGTGTGGTGGCATGTACCCGTAGTCCCAGCTACTTGGGAGGCTGAGGCATGAGAATCGCTTGAGCCCTGGAGGCAGAGGTTGCAGGTTGCAATGAGACAAAATTGCGCCACTGCACTCCAACTTGGGCTACAGAGTGAGACTCTATCTCAGAAAGAAAGAAAAAAAAAAGGATCCATATGTATGACATCAATTTTTCATACAATGTGGTGGGGGAGAGGGCACATGGATGATCCCCAGGCCAGAGATTAAGAATCCTTGCTCAAAAATAAAGTCACTTTACAGAACAGACCCAGAGTGCTCTCAAAAATCAATTTGCTACCTGAATTACAAACAACCTGACAGGCTCATGCTATTGCAACATGGGGACAACCGGGCACAGTGGCTCACACTCGTAAATTCAGCACTTTAGGAGGCCAATGCAGGCAGATCGCTTGAGCCCAGGAGTTCAAGACCAGCCTGGTCAACACAGTGAAACCTCACTTCTACTAAAAATAGAAAAAATTAATTGGGCATGGTGGTGCATGCCTGTAACCCCAGCTACTCGGGGGGGCTGAGACACGAGAATCACTTGAAACTGGGAGGCAGAGGTTGCTGTGAGCCAAGATTGTGTCACTACATTCCAGCCTGGGCGACAGAGGAAGACCCTACGTAAGGGGGAAAAAAAAAAGAACATGGGGGCATCTAAACAAACATTTGAGTAAATCGAAGATCTGATCCCTCTCTTTCAATTGTAATACAAGAAAAGACTGAGTAGGGCTGGGGAAAAGGGGAATTAACATTTATTAAGGGTATACTGTGTGTAATATACCACACTCGGCACTAGTTTGGTATCACCTCATTTCAATTCTCACAACAACCGAATGAAATATTATAATCCTAATATTAATGAGGGAGATATTTAGGCTTAAAGAAAATTTAAAAGCATGACCAAAGTGTCCCCTTACCCCCTCGTCTCCTCTCTATATGTTCTTTTGAAATATCATTGATTTAGAAGCCTGTAACCCTGTACTGAGATTTTGTTTTAACCTCAAAGCAATGCTTTTCTACTCATGCTTAAAAAGATTTGTAACACTACTTATCCATGCATAAGATTTTTCTCAATATTGTATACTCAAACAAAATACCAAAATATATTATCAAAATAGATTCACTGTTTTCAATGGTGGGTTTTAAAATAAATGTTAAAACTCAGGAAGTAGGCCGGGCGCGGTGGCTCAAGCCTGTAATCCCAGCACTTTGGGAGGCCGAGACGGGCGGATCACGAGGTCAGGAGATCGAGACCATCCTGGCTAACACGGTGAAACCCCGTCTCTACTAAAAAATAAAAAATAAAAAAATAGCCGGGCAAGGTGGCGGGCGCCTGTAGTCCCAGCTACTCAGGAGGCTGAGGCAGGAGAATGGCGTAAACCCGGGAAGCGGAGCTTGCAGTGAGCTGAGATCTGGCCACTGCACTCCAGCCCAGGCGACAGAGCGATATTCCGTCTCAAAAAAAAAAAACTCAGGAAGTAGGCCAGGTGCTCATGCCTGTAATCCCAGCACTTTGGGAGACCGAGGTGGGCAGATCACTAGGTCAGGAGTTCGAGACCATCCTGGCTAACACAGTGAAACCCTGATTCTACCAAAAATACAAAAAATTAGCCGGGCGTGGTGGTGCACACCATTGTGCTCCAGCCTGGGTGACAGAGTGAGACTCCACTTAAAAAAAAAAAAAAACCTCAGGAAATAAATGCATATTTTTTTTTGTTTTTTAAAACGGAATCTTGCTCTGTTGCCCAGACGGGAGTACAGCAGTGCTATCTCAGCTCACTGCAACCTCCACCTCCTGAGTTCAAGCAAGTCTCCTGCCTCAGCCTCCCCAGCAGCTGGGACTACAGGTGTGTGCCACCACACCCGGCTAATTTTTGTGTTTTTAGTAGAGACGGGATTTCACCACGTTGGCCAGGCTGGTCTCAAACTCCTGACCTCATGATCCACCCACCTCAGCCTCCCAAAGTGCTGAGATTACAGGTGTGAGCCACCACGCCTGGCCATGCGTATCGTTTTTTAGAAAAGTAAGTAAAGTCACTTTAAACTCTTGTTTTATGACCTAACTAACGGTAGTTTTAGTAACGGAATCCACATATCCTCAGTCCAAGTCCAGTCTTCTACATCTTTTTTTTCTCATGCTATTTTAAGATTTGTAAGTCTTGATATATTTAGGCTATTTTATTTCTGATACTCTAGAGAAACAGCATCCTAGAGTGGTGAAAATCATTAGAAAAATCAGTGTCCAGTAGATGAAGGTATAACCTTGATATGTACTTGGCAATAAAACAGTTTTAAAAAAATTTCAAGAGCATAAAAGAAAATTTACCTCTAATACATCAGAAGTGATAAGCTTCATCACACGATCACTTGGGTCCTTAAATTCTTCTGTAACTTCAGCTCGGTGAATTTTTTTCTTCATCCTATATGACAGCTATGTGATAATACATGTCTTTTAAAATGAGTATCTTTTAAACAGTATTTTTAAAAGTATTGAAATATAAGCCAGCACTAAAAATAGTCTATTAAATAAACACAGATAAAACAAAAGCAGCTGTAAGGGTACATTTGTTAAACATCCACGTTCTAAAGACTATTAGACTTGTGAAGTATCCTTTCACATGCCATGCCACATGCCTACAAATTCAGGTAAGACAGAAATTACATAATTTGCCAGCTAATGGCAGAATCAGAACTAGTGCTCTTCAACCTAGTGTCTCAATTATCACAAGATTAAACAAAAACAAGTGTTATTAGAAGTTTCAACTTTTCACCAAAGAATTTTTAACAATTTTGTACGTCTTTCAGAAACCTCCTCTGATGTTTGAGACATGAGCAAATGCAGATGTCAAATCTAATTTCTTCTCAAAACAATTCGCTTAATATGTGGCATCCAGATATACTGCATTCAAAAGCAAAGTCTCCATTTTTGTTTGCAGAAAAAAAAGTAGTAATTAGAAAATACCATCTCCTATTTTAAAAAAGCTACAAGGCCGGGCACGGTGGCTCATGCCTATAATCGCAGCACTCTGGGAGGCTGAGGCGGGTGATCACCTGAGGTGAGGAGTTCAAGACCAGCCTGACCAACATGGTGAAACCCCATCTCAACAAAAAATACAAAAATCAACCAGGCATGGTGGCGGGCGCCTGTAGTCCCAGCTACTCAGGAGACTGAAACAGGAGAACTGCTTGAACCCCGGAGACGGAGGTTGCAGTGAGCCGAGATCGCGCCACTGCACTCCAGCCTGGACGACAGGGCAAGACTCTGTATCAAAAAGGCACACACATAAAAAAAAAGTTACAAGCCAGGCCGGGCGCTCCCAACACTTTGGGAGGCCGAGGTGAGTAGATCACGAGGTCAAGAGATCGAGACCATCGTGGCCAACATGGCGAAACCCCGTATCTACTAAAAATACAAAAATTAGCTGGGCTTGGTGGTGCGTGTCTGTAGTCCCAGCTATTTGGGAGGCTGAAGCAGGAGAATCGCTTGAACCCAGGAGGCAGAGGTTGCAATGACCCGAAATGGTGCCACCGCACTCCAGCCTGGGCGACAGAGTGAGACCCTGTCTCAAAAAAAAAAAAAAAAAAAAGGCTAAAAGTCTTGAACACTATCAATACTCATTCCATTTTCTGGAGATTGAGAGGTTTTATGGACAATAAAGTATAATTGCTCATTTTGAAAAAACCAAATTATTTTAGGCAACATACCAATTTGGGCATTGCTGTAAAGTGAAATGCTCTGTCTAGTCGTAGCTTCCTAAAAATATAAGCAGCATCAAAATGCTGTGCATTTACTAAATCTTGCTGAAATTTTAAAACTTCATCCCAATCCTTCAGGGCAACTCTGATCTGCAACCAGGAAGAAAAAAAAAAACGTTGTACTAAATGTAAACATATTTTCACAAACATATTATAATTTTAAAATACTGGCGTTTTATTTAAATCATATTTAGTCACATAATATTTATTATAAAAATATGGTACTTGTTTTACATTTCTGCAAAGGAAAAATAACTCACTAAGTATTACCTTTTGTTTTGGTTGACACAGTTGGGTGTTATATAATCCATATAGCAGATACAAAGCACCAACTCTGATCTGGAAGGTGTATGGAGGTAAAAAATATCGCCAAGCCAAAGCCAAAGCTTCTTTTGTAAACATGTTCTTTTCTAAATTTCTCATTCTGCCACTAATAAACAGAGAGAAAATATATTATGACTCATTAAGTGAATAATGAACAAAAGCCAGAAGTATATACTTGTTTAAATGGTAGTTATAATAATTTGATGAGGATTCCATACCCAATTCTTTCATGATTCAAGCACAGAGATAATTTCACACCAAGGCAAAGGCAACTACTAGGTAAACATGATGCAGTTTCCAAAAGCATCAACTTTACTTGCCAAATTGAAGAGCAAGAAGGAAGGGGTTGCAAATTATTATTGGTTAAATATTTAAAACCCGTAATGTTAAAATAATCATGGTTATGTTACAGAACTATGTGCATTTTAATATATAATCGTCAGAAATGCTTGTTCTTTGGTGCTGTAGAGAAGCAGCACTTGAACGTAAATTTTATGTCTTCAGCAAGGCCATTTTTTTACTTTCTACAGAAAGGGGACAGTCGCCAGCAGTTTTGCTACACTGAACAAAGGAGACAGGGTCATTCATAACTTGACGCGTCTACTTTGGACTTCACATTCTGTATCTGTCTTGATTGACTAGCAACTTAGAACTTGAAGTAACTTGTGGAATGCTGAGAAAGGTAAAAACACTTTTAAATAAGGAAGAGGAACAGGCTATGACTTAATGCTTGCTTGGACCAGTATAAGCACGCCAGGGCAAATATTTAGGCTAAACTGTAAGAGCTAAGAACATAAAGTACACTGATTTCTTTATTACAGCTAGCAGATATTTAAGAATGTTAGCATAGGTCTTTGAATAAATTTTGCTTCTAAGAGAAGTTACTATTTAGTCTTAATTAGATAGGGAGGAAAGTCTTTGAAGACAAACCTCTACCTTACTTTTTACATAATGAACATTTTCTCCAGTACTCTCAGGGATTTGCACTAAATTTCCTCTGTCCTTGGGAAGCCTAGGTGAAAAAGTTAAGAGAAACAGCACAAAGTAACCCACACTCCTAATTGTCCAGAGCACCACAAGCTCATTAGAAGAAGGGAGGAGCAGGGGAGAAGAGCATACTCCAGCATACAACCAAAAGCTTTGTCCAAACATCCAAGAGAGGAACAAGGCTTTCTTGGCAATCAATCAAAGAAATAACACAGGAAATGTACCTGAAAGGAAAGTATCTTGGGTACCCAAGATCACTAAGGAAAACTCAGGTTGGAAACTGCTTAGGGCAAACCTGCCTCCCATTCTATTCAAAGTGACTTCTCTGCTCACTGAGATAGATGCATATCTGATTTGCCTCCTTTGGAAAAGCTAATCAGAAACTCAAAAGAACGCAAACGCAACCATTTGTGTCTCACCAATCTGTGACCTGAAAGCTCCCTCCCCACTTCCAGTCTTCCTGTCTTTGCTTCAAGTTGTCCCGCCTTTCCAGACCGAACCAATGTACTTCTTACATATATTGATTGATGTTTCATGTCTCCCTAAATGGACAAAACCAAGCTGTGCCCTGACCACCCTGGGCACACGTCATCACAACTTCCTGAGGCTGTGTCAAGGGCATGTCCTCAACCTTGGCAAAATAACCTTTCTAAATTAACTGAGACCTGTCTCAGATTTTCAAGGTTCACATGTATTTTCTGTGGATATAAACAGCATAATGAATAAACTATCTGAAACTGTTCTGCTGTGCTAAGTTAACAAAAAGTTTTTAAAAACAAGGCCTTAAAAAAGTCAATGTAACAGTCTTCTTACCACTTTGGATAAAACAATGAAGCCATATTTGTGCATACTGTATAGGTTTCTATGTAAGACTTGAAATTAGTAGATAAAAAATGCCAGATTTCAAATAAGACATTACTAAATGTCTCAAAGTGTTGATGCAAGTGACTAATACACTGTACAAATATAAATATGTAGAACTTTCACTTTTAAAACAGCAACAATAAAGACATTCACCCTGCAGCCATAAGCAGGGGCTCCATTACATCTGATTACAAAGCAGGGGTGGAAGGGAAGGGGGTAGTAGAAGGACTTTTTGGCTCTTCAAATAATAAATATACGAAAAGAACACAAAATACCTACTCTAGTTATGGTAACCAAAGTAATTTCTCAAGAAAATCCACCACTCCTCTAGTGATTCCTGTTTCTTTTTTCATTTTAGGTTTTCCCTACTAGAAAATGTAAATGTTACATTTTTAGCTAAGTTTTCCTTAAATGCATTTTCCCCCCAAGAAGTGGTACGGTGGAATATTACGGATTTTAGAAACAGGCAGATACACAGTTTCCAACATCTGCTCTACAATCCACTATCTTTGTAATGGAGAAATTACTTAACCTTTTTAAGCCTTAATTTCCTCATCTATAAAACAAGGATAATTGTACCTGCTTTTTATAACTGTCTTATGCAATAAAGCTATACATTGCATTTAGTAGCCATTTAATAAAGCTATACATTGCATTTAGTAGCAATTTAAAAAAAATTAGTCTCTCTCCTTTTATTAACCGTACAACGAACAGCTCTTCATCCTCCATTTCTTGCAATTTAAAAACTACAAAGGTAATTTGTTTACACTGACAGAGAGAAAATGAGTTTTAACATTTTGTTCAGAAAAACATAGTTTTAATCATAAGGTTTAATTCATTCCGAAAATCAGTTATTTAGCCTTTTCAATATTATATGTACTATGCTAATAAAAATAGATTCATCCAGCCACTGTCCTCACAGAGGTCAGTCTAGTCAAACAAAAATTTTAAAACGGTAGTAATAATGAACATTTGACCAGCCTGGCCAACATGGTGAAACCCCGTCTCTACTAAAAATACAAAAATTAGCCAGGCATGGTGGCACGAGCTGTAGTCCCAGCTACTCGGGAGGCTGAGGCAGGAGAACGTCTTGAATCTGGGAGGTGGAGGTTGCAGTGATACAAGATCGCACCACTACAATCCAGCCTGAATGACAGAGCGAGACTATGTCTCAAGAAAAATAATAATAATGAACATTTATTGAGGACTTAGAATTTCTGATATATCAGCTCATTTGATCTTCACAGCTTCTGAGGTTTATCATTGCCTCTATTTTACAGATATGGAAACTCAAGTAACTTGCCCCAAGTCACAGTGGACCCTGCAATCAAATGCAGCCAATTGGGATCCATAACCTATGCCCTTAACAATCCCACACTGCGTTTTCAACTATACCATTACAACAAAACGTGGCAAGCGATGAGATAAAATAAAAACAGGGTGCTTGGGGTGGGGGGGACATGAACAGCGTACTCAGTCTGGAAGAGCGAAAAAGACTTCCCCGAGGAAGTCATTTGAGCTTAACCCTGAGTAAAGAATAAGGTGGAAAAAACAAGAGTTGCGGTGGAAAGCTCCAGGCTTAGGAAAAGCCTGTGGAGGGCCAAAAAAAAAAAAAAAAAAAAAGCAGCGGCTGGAGCAAGAAAGTGAGTGCATGGAGGGGACTGGCAGGCGAAGCTAGAGAGATGGGCAAAGGCCAGTGAGGAATGGTCTTGGCAAGTCAGAGAATTCAAGCGTTATCCCAAAGGCAATGGGTGCCACTACAGAATGAGCCGGAGAGTGACATGATCAAATTTGCACGTTTGAAAAACAACTTTGGGCCGGGCGCGGTGGCTCACTCCTGTAATCCTAGCGCTTTGGGAGGCCGAGGTGGGCGGATCACGAGGTCAGGAGTTCGAGACCAGCCTGGCCAACATAGTGAAACCTCCGTCTCTACTAAAAATACAAAAAATTAGCCGGGCGTGGTGCCGGGCACCTGTAATCCCGGCTACTCGGGAGGCTGAGGCAGGAGAATGACTTGAACCCAAAAGGCGGAGGGTTGCACTGAGCCGAGACCGCGCCATTGCGCTCCAGCCTGGGCGACAAAGGGAGACTGTGTCTCAAAAAAAAAACACAAACAAAAAAAAACAACTTTGGTTGTTGTAGGAAAGATTAATTCAATCTCGAAGGGTTTTGTCTTTGCTTGTGTGTTTTTAAACATGAGGTCCTGGAACAAGACTGTAGAACAAGACTGGGGAAGGGCAAATGATAGTGGCCTGGGTCAGGGTGGAGGCAGTGGAGATGGAGAGAGGAGTTTAGAAAGGAGGCGAAGCAAAGACGCATATTTGGGAAGAGACCGCAACAACCATCAGGGCACAATGAAACAGCAGGGAAACCGCGTTGCCTGCGCACAGGGGAAGGTCCAGGAGTGATGGACGCAACCTTCGGTGACTGCCGCTCTTCTCAGCACTTCCCAAGTGCAATATCGCCGGGAAGGAGGCAACTTTCTACACCACCTGAGGGCAGGGAGAGGCGGGTGGTGGACAAGAAACACCCACCAGAAGATAGTACCGAACTTCATGTTTCTCCAGAGCTCCGTGAAGGCCTCGAAGCGTACACTGTCCGTCTCCTGGAAGCGGCTGAGCAGCGCCTCGCAGTCCGTCTGCAGGCCGGGAGGAGTCCCCATGGCCCCCGAAGCCCGCACACCTCTAACCGACTAACCAGCGGTGGTAGCCCAGGAAACCAACCCCGAACGGCCCGCCCCCTACGGCGTGCGCACACGCGCTCCGTGTCGTATTATCCGGCACTTTTAGCTCCGCCTTTATCCGGGCTCTTGCTACCGGTCGTCTGCTTAATGCGCGTGCGTGAAAGCGTTCTACTGTTTTGCTGGCTGAGATTGCTTTCACCCAGAGTGCTAAGATCCACCCTTCTATTGAAGAGGTTTAGTTGAAGAGGTTTACGTCTCAAGTGTTGTGTTTGCTCACGAGCGGTTTTAGGTCTTCATTTTCCGCTAGGTTATGTAACTTGACTTTACCCTTACTAGCACTCTCCTTTAAAGTGACCCTAGTGTGACATAAGTGAACTTTTGAGCTAGGAAAGAACAGTCCCAACCCCACCCACCCCCACGTGGGAAGAGAAGCTAAAGAAGGCTTGCTAGGAAACAAACTGAACTCATTCTCCTTCTGGTCATCGAGAACCCTAATACTCTGTACCCACATAATACGATGCTTAATGTGTGACCCTCTCTTTGTAAACCCTGGTATTCTGCAACCACTCTTGAAAAGAAGAGCTGTATTTCATACCCTCTTGTAAACAGCCGCCCTCCCACCCCGCCACGCATTCACCCCTGTGCTACATAGTACTTAGAAAATACCTACTTCTTATATTATTATTTGGATGAATTGCCTTTTTGTGTACACGTTGCCACCTAGCTTCCTTCCTCCAGGAGTAACATTTTGAATTTTAGACCATTTCTCTGATTGAAAGGTATGCTATCATTCTTCAGGAGAGGTATCCTGATATTATAGAAAAACATTGGGCTTTCTGTCTGTAAATGGAGTATCAATTCACTTTACTTTCTGATCCTTGACCTGTTTTTTTGTTTGTTTTTTGGATTTGTTTGTTTTTTGTTTTAAGACGGAGTTTCGCTCTTGTTGCCAGGCTGGAGTGCAATGGTGCGGTCTCGGCTCACTGCAACCTCTGCCTCCCGGGTTCAAGCGATTCTTTTGCCTCAGCCTCCCGACTAGCTGGGATTACAGGCATGCACCACTCCACCCGAATTTTTTTTTTTTTTTTTTTTTTTTTTTTTTTTGTATTTTTAGTAGAGACGGGTTTTCACCATGTTGGCCAGGCTGGTCTCGGAACTGCTAACCTCAGGTGATCCACTCCCCTTGGCCTTCCAAAGTGTTGGGGTTACAGGCGTGAGCCACTACACCCTGCCCTCTTGACCTGTTTTTTAAATGTTATGTGATATTTTATGTCACAGAAAAATGTATGTGATGTGTGAGATAAAAAGCATAGCAGTTAAACACCTGTGCACCTTTCACCTGTGTAGGAACCAGAACATTACCAACACCTTCACATCAATCTGCGATTTCCTCCTCTGACCTATTCCTTTGCCTGTACCCTACTTTAATCACGACTACTGGTTGGGTGCGGTGGCTCACGCCTGAAATCCCAACACTTTGGGAGACAAAGGCAAGAGGATCGCTTGAGCCCAAGAGTTGGAGACCAGCCTGGAAAACATGGTGAAAATTAGCCGGGCATGGTGGTGCACAGCTGCAGTCCCAGCTACTTGGGAGGCTGAGGTGGGAGGATCACCTGAGCCTGGGAAGTGGTGGTTACAGGAGGCAGAGGTTGCAGTGAGCCACGATCATGCCACTGCACTCCATCCTGGGCTACGGAATGAGACCGAATCTCAAAAAATAAAATAAATAACTACCTTGAATTTTGTTTCTCTTTCTCATTTATATATTTTATCACATATGTATGTATGTTTAAACGGTATATTTTTTAGTTGTGGTTGGTTTTGAGTTTTATGAAAATGGTATTGCAATTTATAATATGTGTTATTTGAATTGCTTTTAAAACTTGTTTCCAAGATTGATTCATATTATTACTCATAATTGTAGTTCATTTTTCAGTGCTAATATTCTATTGTGCAAAAATATACTGCTTATTCATTATTTCCTCAATGGAAATTTAAGTATATTCCAGATTTTGATATCATAAACAATGCTACTTTGATCACTTGTATATGTCACCTTTATAGGGTTGTCAGATAAAATACAAGAGGCCCAATTAAATTTGACTTTCAGATCAACTAAAAAAATTATTCATTGTTTATCTAAATCTAAAATATAATTTAACTGGGCATATTATATTTTTGTTTGCTAAATATGGCAACTCTACTTGTACGTTGCAGGAATCTAGAGTATATACACCTAGAATTAGAATATATACCTACCATTATCATCACTGTTAAATAATAAGAGGTGCAAGTGTTCAACTTTATAATTTTAAATTGTTTTTTAGAATAGCTTGACTTGGCCAGGTGTGGTGGCTCACACCTGTAATCCCAGCACTTTGGGAGGCCAAGGCAGGCAGATCACTTGAGGTCAGAAGTTCAAGAACAGCCTGACCAACATGATGAAACCCCGTCTCTACTAAAAATACAAAAATTAGCCAGGCATGGTGGCATGCGCCTGTGGTCCTAGCTACTTGAGAGGCAGAGGTATGAGAATCATTTCAACCTGGGAGGTGGAGGTTGCAGTGAGCCAAGATCGCACCACTGCACTCCAGCCTGGGTGACCGAATGAGATCCTGTCTTAAAAAAAAAAAAAAGAATAGGACTGATTTACACTTCACTAGCAGTGCATGAGATTTCCTACTTGAGCCGTATCATCTCACAAATTTGGCTTCTAATTGTGGTCTTAATACACATTTCTCTGATACTAATGTGGTTGTGTATCTTTTCAAATTCTGATTTTCTATTCATATTTCCTCTACTGTGACATGCTTGTTTATATATTTTGTCTATTTTTCAATTGTGGCATTTGACTTTTTCATATTGATTTGTAGAAGCACCTTATATATTCTGGATACTAAACTGGTGTTTGTACTATGTGTTGTTTATTTCCTAGGTTGTTTTTATTTACTATCTTTATGGTGATTTTTTTATGTATAGAAATTCTTTTTTTTTAATATAGTCAAATTTCAAAATCTTTTCTAATAAGGGCTCTTGTATCTTAAAGTTATAAGTGTTTTCCCTATATTTCATTATTAGTATAACTAATAAATCTTGAATGCTGAATGACTGAACACAAACTAAGCTTGTTTTTCTTTTACATTAAGTTCAATTAATGACAGGATGGGGTGAGGAGGGTTCTGCTTCAAGCAGTTACCTGCTGACCAAAGCTGATGAAAACTCTGCCATCTTCAGTGATTGACTTTCAAGGTCACCTTGAGCACCTTGAGTGACTTGGCTGGAATGTTTTAGTGAAGACATCGAGCCTGTGGACTGGAGAAGAACGAGAATGTGGAAGATTGCATGAGAGATTTTTATGGGCCAGGCCTGGAAATGGTATGCACTCAAAGTGTGGTTCACTGACAACTACTGGTCTGCAAACTGTTTATTACTTCTCCATCTCACAATAGTACAGAAATTAAGAATAAGTGCTGAGATGGTTTGGCTCTGTGTCCACACCCAAATCTCATCTCGAATTGTAATCCCCACATGTGGAGGGACGGACCTGTAATCTCCATGGTTTGAGGGAGGGAGGTGATGGAATCATGGAGGAGGTTTCTCCCATGCTGTTCTCATGATAGTAGTTCTCATGAGATGTGATGGTTTCATTCGTGTTTAACAGTTTCTCCTACACATACTCTCTCTCCCCTGCCACCATGTAAGATGAACGACTCTTCTGCCATGATTGTAAGCTTCTTGAGGCTCCTTAGCTATGTGGAACTGTGAGTCAATTAAACCTCTTTCCTTTATAAATTACCCATTGTCAGGTGTATTTCTTTACAGCAGTGTGAAAACAGACTAATACAAATGCTTATTAACTTTATATAGAAATTTGACAGAATAATTTGATATGACTTTTTAGATTTTTAAAAATAATTTAATTTTATTAAAGTTTATAAAAGTACTGGTGCATGATAGATTGGGGGGAAATGGTTCATTACAACAGATAATTTGAGAAGCACTGTTATACACCATTTCAATCCACAGTCTATTGGCCAGAATTCAGTCACATGGACTTATTCAGGTGCAAACGTGGCTGAGAAATGTCATCCCTAATTAGGCAACCTTTCCCCAACAATAGTTCCAATCTCTGGAAGAGGTGCACACGTCTTTGTTGGACCATGTATTAGCTCATTCCTGCTGCTATAACAAAATACCATATAATAGATAACTTATAAACAACAGAGATTTATTTCTCACAGTTCTGGGAGGCTGGGAAGTCTAAGATCCAGGTGCTGGCAGATTCCGTGCCTGGTGAGGGCTGCTCTCTGCTTTCAAGATAGCACTTGTTGCTGTGTCCTCACATGGCATAATAGCAGAAGGACAAAAGAGGCCTAGCTAGTTCCCTCCAGCCCTTTTATAAAATCACTAATCCCATTCATGAGTCCTCATGACTTAATTACCTGCTAAGACCCTACCTCTTAATGCTATCACATTGGCAATTAAGTTTCAACACATTAATTTTGGGAGACATTTAGACCAGAACAGACTGCCAACATGTCTGCTGCAATTTTATTCAGAAACTCTGAAAGTATTACCTTTCACTTTTAATTTACTCTCATCCATCTAAAAATTTATTTCTATGTATGGTATAAGGATCCTATTTCACTTTTTTCCATATGTATAACCATATGTATGTATATGTATTTTCCATATGCATAATTTTCCAGCATCTGTTATTGAATAGTCCATCCTTTCCCAAAATTCACTTCTGTTATATATCAAGTTGTATGGCCAATTGCAACCAGTACACAACTGTATGGCTTTGTATCTGTTATTAAAATACCAAATCATAGTGCAGTATTTCCATTACTGTTAGTAAAACAGTTACCACTCTAAGCCTCCTTACTATCCTCAACTCAAACACTTGGACCCCCCAGGCCACAAATCCCTTAACCTCCCAGCCTCTAAAACTGAAGTGGTTAAGCCTGGCACAGGAAGAGACCTTTAGTGCCGGCTCCAGCTTC